TCCTGCTCCTGATTTGGTGACTTACCTTGGGAATATTGATTTTTAGTATGCATAACTTCGTTTTAACACTTCTACTCTCCATGCTTTTTTTTCTTTACCCCATATGATGGATTCTAGGCGATAGTCAATTCTAGTTTTTAGATTTAGCATCTGGTGCTTACCTGCCCTTAGTAATTTTACTTGTCCATTGTAAGGTTACTCACCTTTGGCAAGGGACAATAGAACTATTGCAAGACTAACACTCACATTTTAAGCACCTCTTGGGTGTTAAGAAGAGTTTCACACAAATTATAATCAGGCCTTTTATTGCAAAGCCATTAAATGTTAAATGTTGTGTGGAATTAAACTTTTGACATCTCTTGAACAAGATGTTTGCCTACTAACTAGTTGCGTAAGTAAACGGATGACTCGATTCACATTCTGTTATAGAGCTTTGGAAGTTAATAATTGTTTCTTTCGGACCAAATAAAGAAGCTAGGGAAAACCTTTGCAATGGAATTTGGAGGGAAGTCTGCCAAAGGTGCTGAGAAGGCCCTCTTCTCTTGTGTCGAAGTTCTACATTTGACACTACTGATTTTGGGACAACATACTTAAATACTTGGGAGCCCTTTTTGTGGCCTTGTGCTTTGGTTTGAGTAGCCTCTATGAAGTTTTTGTCTTGTGCGTTTGTTTTGTTTTTTTTTTTTTTTAAAAAAAACAAACACAAAATAAAAACAGGGGAAAAAAAAGCCAAACCACCTCCTTTTTACTCATATTTCTACTTTCAGTGTCCAAGTACTGTTATCTTTTCTGTCGTCAAGTTTCCTAACAACTGCTTACAGAAACACTGGAAGATTGGGTTGTCCTTTCAGATGTGCACTTGTATCTCTGTAGCTGTGCAATCTCCTGTCATAGACTTTTGACTGCTGTAAAAAGCTGTAACTTTTCTAGCAAAAGAGAAGTGAACCCTCCCCTGAAAGAGTAGGGTTTACTGCTTAAATTCTCTTGGAATGGTGTTAGAACACAAAATTTAAATGTCAGGAAGATATTCTTAATATACAGAAAACCTTTCTGAAGGTAGTGTGTCAAGGGAATTCTCTGGACTGCTTATCATCATCTGTTCACATGTCTGAATATGTTGCATGTTATCTAATATGAAACTCAGTAATGACTTGTATAACTGGGTGTGGGGCACATATGTTTAGATTGCATATGTGTATACTGTCATGGTTCTTCTGATATCTATACTATGATTTTTTTTTTTTAATGTTTTAAATAGTAATTTTGCATTTGGTGTCTATTTTTCAGTACTGTGTTCTTTCTTTGTAGAGTAAAAAAAAGAAGAAAACAGACTTTATACCATACAGGGATTCTGTACTAACATGGCTTCTTCGAGAAAATCTAGGTATGGCTGATTTGCCTGTGCCAATATGGAAAGAAGTTCTTGCTGAATTTTCTGACTGCTTTTAACTCACTTAACTTAAATTTATATCAAATATAAGGTTAAATATTTTTAGTAGTCAAATCTGAGTCATATAGTTCCACCTTTTGTTAAAGTTATAAAAATCATAGGAGAGTTATATGTTCCTTAGTAGTGTAGAATATAGCTGCATTATATAACTTATTGAAAATAGTGATATTTAGTAGGTAATTAGTGCCTAGATTGTGGACTGTAGTTTCATCTAAAATCTTGCCTGTTCATTATAGGTGGTAATTCCAGGACTGCAATGGTTGCTGCTTTGAGTCCAGCAGACATAAACTATGATGAAACTTTGAGCACTTTAAGGTACTTTCTTTTTGTCTGAGATTAATATGAGTAGCTGTTAGCTCTAATGGCCACATTCTATCCTTCAAACGTTTGGGTTGTTATACTTTGAGAAAATCTGTGGGGAAGACGACTCTGTACTGGCAAGAACTCAGTTATGCTGAAAGAGGAAAAACAATCTATTGTGTTTGAATAGGGAGCTAGGGGTTTATTGCCTACTCTTAACTTGAAAAATCAAACTCATTTTCTTGTGTTTGCATGTTCTTTTCCAGTGTTGTCCCTAAAATTGAGCATATTAGTCAAACTGAGGCTTCAAAGCACTGAAAAAAGAAAAAAACATTGTTGTCTGTACATACTGTTAATTCATCTTGAATAGGACTTGTCTTTTTTTTACAGCAATACCCTGTATTAAATATGAATTCAAATGCATGGTTGAGTATAATCCAGAATTCTCTTCTGACATAGTGCTGCAAGCGATGTGTGTGCTATATTGCTGCATTCCTGTGTTGCATATAAGCACTTAAGTGTTCATTGTAAAGTTCTATTGTTTTGGTCTGGTTCCAGATATGCTGATCGTGCAAAACAGATTAAATGCAATGCTGTTATCAATGAAGATCCCAATGCCAAGCTGGTGCGTGAGCTGAAGGAGGAGGTGACAAGGCTTAAGGATCTCCTGCGTGCCCAAGGGCTGGGAGATATTATTGACAGTAAGTGGGTTAAACACACCTTACCTTCAAGGCCAGATTGGATGGGCTTTGAGCAACCTGGTCTAATGCAAGGTGTCCCTGCCCATGGCAGGGGATTGGAACTAGATGATCTTTAAGGTCGCTTCCATCCCAAACCTTTCTATGATTCTGTGAACAATTACCATCTTGAAGTTGATCTCTATAACAGACGAGGGAGAGCTGGGCCTGTGAGAGAAAGGGGTTTAAAACATGGAATTTAGATGTAGGTGCTGATATTAAATTTTTGAACATGATTTTAGAAACGGTAGCTTCTTTTGTCTTTAAACAATCCACTCTAGGATTGTCTGGAGAGTTGACAGGCCACCTTCAAACTCTCAAGGAAAAACATGATTGAGTTTCCTGTTACTGTAGAAATGTTTTTGTGTAATGTAACTTACACATTCAGGAATTGCCCTGCTGAGTTATGGAGGGCTTTTTGTCTGGCTGCCGATAAAAGGAGGATAGTTGAGATATAGAAACTTAATTTCATACTGAGAAAGAAAGCATCTTTTCTTCCTCCTTAAAGGGTTAAGGTTATTAGTTGATACCTGGCTTCAATGCCATCCTGTCTCAGAAAAGAAAAAGATGTCTAATTCCTGTTAGACAGTGTCCTGAGTGACAAACCATTTGTCATCTCAAAATAACTAGGTATGAAACAGCTGTTAGTGAATAAATAATGAATTCTTTTGGGGCTAGATTTTGAGTTAGGTTGGCAGAGCAGTATTGTGCTGATTTGCTTTGCCAGCAACCTCTTAAAGCACCAGAACACACTTGTGCCTGAATTATTTCTTTGTACTCACTCCTAACAAGGCAAATAAACAAAAATTTTAGCTGCTGTGTTCTGCTATAATATGAACAGTGATTTAATTCCTAGTGAAGGTGATGCCAATAAAAACACAGAATGATTCTTTGACTTAAAAAAACAAAACCAAACAAACACACACCCCCCCCCCCAAAAAAAAAGAAAAAAAACCAAACCAAAAAAGTGAATGTTGCACCAGCTCCTGATTTGTCAGAGCTTATTCGCCTGTGAAGCAGAGGTCCTGACTTAGTCACAGACTGCCTAAAGATGTGTAACATGTATTTACCTTTTTGTTTGCTTGTTTTCGAGAGAATGGTGCCAGAAGACAATGAAATGCAAGTGTTTTCATGCTTGGTACAGTCTGTGTTTTTTGGTTCTAAATCAAAACTGAAAAAACTATGTGTTACTGAAAATTGTGTTTTGTTTCTTTAAACATCAAATAGTATTCTCTTCCCTTCCTGTGTCGCTAGTGAACCTTCAATTTTGATCCTTCTTGTATTTTCCCTCCTGCTTCCTTTCAGTTGATCCAATGGGAGATGAATACTCTGGAAGTGGAGGCAAATGTGTGTATTGTGTGGTTCTCTTTTTAACCTGCTCTCTCTGGGTCAACTTTTAACTGAGCTTTGCATGCCAGCATTTCTCACAGGGAAATCCCAGACAGAACACTCACTGTGGAATGCAGTGCAGTTTCATGAAAACTAGCTTAACCAGCATTTCTTAGATTTGAGTTGACAGTCAAAAAAAATTGCAAAGTTTAAAATGCAACATATGTTCAGTGCTTTCTTTTTGGCAGAATATAGAAGGGAGAGTGGTAGTTCTTTAGTCTATTTTCATGACAGCAAACAGTTTAGATTAAAACCAGAAAATCTTTTTCGCAAATCTTTCTCAAGTTACTCAGTTGAAACAGGTTCTGCTCACCTAGCTTCCTGGCCTTTTAACATCTCTTTTCCACCTTGAAGTATTTTTTTAAAATGTGTCAATTGATTAACTCAAGATGGAGTGTTACCAGTTCCTCCTGGAGACTGAGATTGATTTATTTTGTGTAGTCTCTTTAGAAAAAAAAAAGTTGGACACTTTATACTGATGAAGATCTCTTATTTGAGTTCAAATACTTGGTTGCAGATGATTAACTTGATAGGGTTAAAAACAGTCAGGAAATAGCTTTTTATTTTCTGTTCTAATGTTCTCTTCTATGAAAGGGAAATACATGTAGTCCATTGCAAGAGAAATGTATTCTATGTAAATTTTGGGTTGGTAGACTTTTTAAACTCTTTCAGTCAGTCTTCACCCTCACTCAAACAGTATCAGCTGGAAGAGATCTGTCTGAAATTTCCTAAAATTAAAGCTACTGGTGGTGTAAAGACTCATCCTGGCCTTGTCTTACGTTCCGACGCTGCTTCCAGCGTGTGCATATGTCATCCGTGTGAAAGCTGCAGCCTCCCAGAGAAGCGTGCATGATGTTGAGGGTTTGGGTTCTCTGTGGTCGCAGCAAGTGTGAAAGCTATTGCGAGTGCCACTTCCTTTATCTTCAGGAGTGCATGTGTCTTCACAGGAGTGCATTTAAGACTTCATCCTCCCTGCTCTGTCATGCCTGCTTTCCTCATCCTGATGGCATTCCCTTTCCTTAACCTGCTTCTGTTAAACTCCCACCCCTGCTTCCTGTATTTGCAGATGGTGGTTTTCAAATTGACTTGATACAATCATCAGTTTCATGAGGCTGAAACAGCAGGTTGAATGTGGAGTGAACTAGGGCATAAGGGTGACAGTAGCAGAATTGTTCAGGGTAAGAGTAGAGGAGATGTAGGAGGACGTGGAAAGTTATGCGATGTCTGGATGATAATCTCATTTCTGTAAGTGTGAAGCCCTTGTTTATAACTTGCAAGGTCTCGTTTGACCTGTTTCTTTCCTAAGGATACTTAGTTTAAAGGATTTGTTTTTGAAATAGAATTGAAAACTATCAGAATTATTAAAACTGAGCTATTTAGTTGTCTGATATTTCCATGTTAGAAGACTTTTTTTATTTGATGTGTGATTATTCTGAGAATATGGTTTATAGACATATCTGAGAAGCTGAGTTAGATTAAAATAAATTGCCTTTGAATATTCATTGTTAAATCATTCATACACCTTTTCCTTGTTTTCTGCCTTTCAAGAAGGCATCCTTCAGGCCTCCAGGTTTTCAGGCTACAAAAGCTGCCTTATTAAATTTTGGGATTTTTTTAAGGCCTTCCTCATCTAAGCTAAGACTAAAAAGCTTTTAAAGCACCTTCTGAAGTGTGAGAGCCTTATCAGATATTTCACTGATCAGGTATCTTAGATTTCCATTTTTCAGATAAGGAGGCTCAAGAAGTAACATAATGATGTTATTGTGAACTTGTGTTCTCTTCTTCCCATCATGGACTGACAGGTGATTTACATACTCTCCTGTGGGAATTTAAGGAGAGGTAGTTCTTTATCCTTGTGGTCTGAGTACAGAACTACTGCTGTGATAAAGATTAACTTAATCATCATTTTAGATTAAAGGAGTCTGGAAGGGAATGTTTTGCCGAGTTTAAGGGGTTGGTGTCTATTCAGACTTCAGCCCAAAATGTCACTAATCTCATGAGGAACTAAATCTGCTCCTGGCCTGAGCTCCATGGTGCTCGATTTAGTTAGAAATAGGATGATACTTTTTTTAGCAAGTGTGTAATTTATTTTTTTCAAGCTTTTTTGATCAAAATGGTTTATGATGCAGTCCTTACTAGTAATCCTTAGGGTCTGAACTGAGTTGTCATTATGTTATAGATGCTAATATTAAAAGATTTGTTTCAGAACTGCCATCTAAAAATTACAAAACTTGTCTTGTTGCTGCTTAAATGCTTTCCTCTTACTCTGGTATTTCCTTCCTTTCCTTTTTCCTCTTCCTTCCCTCTTCCTATTTTCCTTTTTCCCATCTTTCTGCCTTCCCTCTGTCTGTGTGTCTCTCTCCCAGATTTGAAAGATTTTCAGAACAATAAACATAGATACTTGCTAGCCTCCGAGAATCAACGTCCTGGCAATTTTTCCACAGCCTCCATGGGGTCCCTCACTGCATCTCCATCCTCCTGCTCTCTCAGTAGTCAGGTGGGCTTAACATCTGTGTCCAGTATACAGGAAAGAATCATGTCAACACCTGGAGGAGAAGAGGCAATTGAACGTTTGAAGGTAAGTATTGCTGTAGATTGAGGCTGTTACTTTGGTCTTTTCCAAGGCTAAACAGCAGTGAACCCTGGAGAACTTTCCTGCATAAACAGATCCTGTTTTTTTTATTCAAAGCTGGTGAAGGGCCTGGAGCACAAGTCTTATGAGGAGTGGCTGAGGGAGCTGGGCTTGTTTAGTCTGGAGAAAAGGAGGCCGAGGGGAGACCTGATCGCCCTCTCCAGCTATTTGAAAGGAGGTTGTAGCAAGCTGGGGGTTGGTCTCTTCTCCCTGGTAACTAGTGATAGGACAAGAGGAAATGGTCTCAAGGGGGGAGGTTCAGGTTGGATATTAGGAAGAACTTCTTCACTCTAAGAGTCGTTGGAACGGGCTCCCCAGGGAGCTGGTGGACTCGCCATCCCTGGAGGTGTTCAAAAAACATTTAGATGTAGCACTTCAAGACATGGTTTAGTGGGTTTAGCGGGCATGATGGCATTGGGTATAAGGTTGGACGTGGTGATCTTTGAGGTCTCTTCCAACCATAATGATTCTATGATTCTATGATCCAGTATGCTGCTGTTTCTGTAGGAAACCCGGTTGTCTGAAACCCACTTGCACCTTAGAAAGGGCACTTAACTGGGGTGGGCTAGAAACTGGGTTCATGCACAGCCTTTCCTGTTAGGATTACTTAGATTTGATTGTACCCTGAAGCTGCAACTAAATTATAAATGAAAATTTTGATTGTTGTTTACAGGTCCTCTGATCTAGTGGTAGTTATGGAAAATTTGCTCTTAAGTATATGCTTCAGGAGGCCTGGTCAGCACTAGTGTGGACAAAGTCTGACTAGCAAATGCACTCAGCTTTCAGAAAACCAAATTACCCCAAAGTTGAAAAAAGGAGGAAGAATAATCCTGCCACTGTTGTGTTCGCCCAGCCCCCACAGATTAAAATGTGAAGCACACAGAATAGCACGCTTTATCCAGACAATAGCGGCCTTGTCCCAGTTCTGCATAGAATTAAACTGCATCAAAAATGCATTACAGTAAAGTATTTCTTGACTTTTATGAAACTCCCCCCAATCTCCATGGGTGGATGAGGGGGAGAAGTGACTGAGTTGAATCTATGCTTCGTTCTCATGTCTTGTCCATGAGAGACACTGCCACAGGGATTGGAATGGCCTGGAACACACACTGCATATCCATTTCCTATTAGAAACCCGCTGTTGCCATGGAAATAATAGTGTGGTTTCTGTAGTTCCTTGGCATCCAGTTGCTGAATGATGTCTGTAAATCAGATTTAAAAAAAAAAAAAAAGGAAAAAAGGAAAAAAATTTAGGTGGTTCAAATTAAAGTCTGACTGGTTAGATATGAAGTAATCTTTTATTCTCAGCTTGCCTTCAAGGCTATTTACCCTTTTAAAAATTAAGGAAGACAACTTAGAGTTTTGAAGTGCTGAGAGTACTTTTTATATCCAAAATTAATTTGAGGTCTAGAACTGAGCACAAACTTTAATTGCCTTGTGTATTATGTAAAGAACTTTGAGAAGAATTCTAAAACAGCTTCTGGGATTTTCACACAGGAATCCGAGAAGATCATTGCAGAGCTGAATGAAACATGGGAAGAGAAGCTGAGGAAAACTGAGGCCATTAGGATGGAAAGGTCAGGAATCAGAAGTGCGGTAGATGTGGATGGTCCCTAGAAAATGGAGAAGTGTGGAAAACGGAGAATGTCACCCTGTCCAAAAGCAATGGAACAGCAGAATAGTGCTTAGTGATAAGTCTGCTGACCTTTCTGTTATATATAACAGTAGAGGCAATGCTGAGAGAAAGCTGTGTTCTTTCCTATATTTCCTACAGTTAAAGTGTTTACTGTTGTAATTCAGGTAACATCCTAAGCTGCTACTTTGGCTTCTCCTGTGAAGCAACATAGAGTTCTGGTCTCTTTCTTCCCCCTTCCACCATTCTCTTACATTCCAAAAATTCTGGCCCTAAGGTTAAGCAGAAAAGATTAAATTTTTAGTACTGGCCTTATCTAAAATTATGAAACAGCTCCAGCTTTCCAGCTTTGGTTTGAATAGTGTCTTAGAGCAGCAAGATAGATGCTTAATGATTGTCAGAAAGTGGGTGCAACCAAACGGAGCGTTAGAATATCAAAAGCTTACAAAATATGTTAAGGGGAACATCTTTGCCTGGAAACAGTGTGACTGAGCAGTCCATAAAATCATGAGAGGTATATGAAGAAAGTGGATAGAGATTGAGTCCCCGGAGCTAAGGGACTTTAAGGCTAAAAGGTAATTTGAAACAAATAGGAAGTTCTTCCAGTACATAGGGAAGCTTCGGAAGTCTTTACTGCATGATGTTGATGATGCTAGGAGTTGAATTAAAAAAAAAAAAAAAAAAGACCTTAAAAAACAGCAAGAAAAACACTTTAGATAGCTGTTTAAAAGAAATGCCCCCATTATTTCCGGAAATTCCTTAGGAAGAAATTGAGAGACTGTGAGAATACTTTGGGGAAAATGTCACAGTGTTTGCCATGTTCTTACTCTTCTATGTTGGCATCGCTGTTGTTCTTTGTCAAAGTCAAACATGAACAGTTTGACCTGATACAATCCTTTCTATGTCTGGAGAAGGAGAGAGTACTTTCTATATTAGTTCAGGAAGAGCCAGTTAAGTCTTTTTGAATTAATGAATAGTGGTATCTCCTTTTACCTGAATTTAAATATTTAAATTTAGAACAGACTTTAACCTTCCTTAAAGAAGCAATGAATGTAATATCCTAAAATGAACATATCTTGTGATACATTATTGCACTTAAAATACTGTTAGATCTCTGTAAAAATTTTGCTGTTGCCATTCTGCAGGCCTATAAACTCTAGGACTAAAGTTCAGAAACTTGCCCTATTGTGTTATGAGGTGGTGACAGTCCTGGCCGTACGGGCAGCGGATAAGCTGGCTGAAAGTCTAATGTATTTCATTACATGGCTTTCATTAGACCTTATTTTGTCTAAGAAGTCTAAAATGTGGTAAATATCTTGCTTTTCTCTTTCAGGGAGGCATTGTTGGCAGAAATGGGAGTTGCCATTCGGGAAGATGGGGGAACACTGGGAGTCTTCTCGCCTAAAAAGGTAAAGAAAATTGATAAATATTGCATCATGCCTCCAAAAGGCTGATCAGCCTGGGAGGAGAGGGTGATGAGCGAGCTACCATTCACACAAGGGCTTGTAAGATACAGAAAAATATAAGTGAGGTTGGGACCCTTAGTTGTAAGTTCCTTTTACAATCTCTTTTTGGAAATAGCTTTAGTGTTAGAATATATCAAAACACTCTGCCTCTAAGGATTATTTTGCCCATAATAATGAAGTTGGATGCTGTTCCTCATGCAAGTGATGATACTACTTTAAGGCTTTTAGGGAGAATTGCCTGTGGTAGCTTCCATTGGTTGTTAAAGTAGGGAAACATGTGCTAGCCTAATACACTGATGAAACAGGAGCAGTGTGAAAAGTTCATGGGAAGACTTCTGATATCAGAAAATGGGTGAACTCTTTTGCACTTTCCTTTAGAAAAATCCGTGCTGCAAGAAGAAGTGTTTGCAGCTCCTTGCATATCTGTTGATTTGGTAGCAGCTCAGAAATGCTACCTCTTCCATTATTGCCATTTTCTGCGGTAGCTGTGTGTGAACTTCACATACTTTACCTATTCTTCTTTGAGATACCCAGAAAAGTTTGAAGTCTTGTTTGGGTGCTCTTCCTTGAATTTGTTCGTTAATCCTTTTTCCCCTTGGAAAAAGGGATTGTAATCTAATGAACCACTGAACATAGGTGATGCAGGGGAATATTTCTCTCAGTACGTGTCAATAGTTCTATTTTCTGCAATTTGAAAGGAGCAGAACTGTGCAGGAAAGGGGCATAAATCAGTACTATAAATATAAAATGATCAAGTAAGTAAAGAAGCTGTCTATGCGGTTAAAGGAGAATTATTGAAGCAGTACAAGGAAATGAATATACTTTCTTATGTCTCAAAGAATCTTTGAACAGGGAGCACAGGACAATACCTTAGACTGAAACTTGCACGTGCAAGTGTGTTACAAACTTGGTGTAAGGTTAAACAGGGACCTATCTAGAGGCATTGTACAGAAATACAGGACAGCAGAATTGGTTAAAATGTTTAATCCTTAGTTTAAAGTGGTGTTAGACTGTTATGTTTGGAGTAGGTGGAATTCTGGTTTGCTTTTGGTATCTACTCCAGAAGTGCCTAAGGTTTGTAAAGACGCTAATTTGTTGAGTGTTCTTTACATTTCTTTCTTTATGTTGTGGATCCTCATCTCCTTTTAGATTTTCCCACAGAGACCTTCAGCTCTTTTTGATGACTCTTTTGGTGCATTTTCAGCTGATCAGGTTTGTGTATAAATGCCATCTGGATTAAGTAGTCGCTTTGGTAATAGATAGTATTTCTTTTTACCCATATAGGATTTATTAGGAGAAGTAAAACTCCTGACCTAGTCCTGTCTGCTTCTGTTCCTTGCTACCCTTGCACTTCAGTTTTATTAGTTTTCCTTCTAGTAACTGTCATTGCTGTTGTGAAAATTTAGGAGACGTAGATAGCAAATTTGACGTTTTCTTATAAAGACTTTGCACTTCTGAGGTACCAGCGTATATCTAATCGTATGCTACTAGGACAGCACTGTGTTTTTACCAGCTGAGCTGTAAATTGAACTTTGTAAGGTAAATTTTGCCTGCTTCATGAGTTAAAAGGTATCACATTGTGCAATCATTGCTGTATCTACCAGTTTTGCTTTTGATGGCAGGAAACTTCTTGAAATGGTTTGTGGAATTTAATTGCTTGTACTGTCGTCAAAGATGGGAGCAGGGAAAATCCTTCAGCTCACGCTTGAGGAATGCTGTACAGGAGGAAGTTGAAGACGTAACTGTCTGTGGATAAATAATAGATCTCAGAATAAGCAAATAGTTGGTTTTGCTAGCATCATCTTTCAAGTTGTTGAGCTTTATTTCTTACAAAGCTCTCTGTTGCCTTTGGAAGACCAATTCAGTCTTCGATTTAGTGTAGTAAATTAACTCAGATGCTAAAACATGTATGTATAAGGTACAGCATTATTTTCAAAGTCTCCAAGTGGTACAAATCAGTGGTGTTACAGCAGTTGACTGTTTCTGGGATTTGGTTTCTCTCCAGTTTCCTCTTAAATTAAGAGCTTTATACAGTTCCAAATACTGATTTGAATGCAGTGAATAGTGATGATGGCATGGGGCATCTTCAGCCGCGGTTTTAGGTGGCCCCTATATTTTTAGGGGTGAAAAAAGTGTCTTGTTTTTTCTCCCTTTCTGTCTTTATAGTTAAGTCTTCCATTGGGCAACTGACAATCAGACTTCTTCATTCAAAGACAAATTTCATTGTGAACATCCAGTAATTTTTGAGCTTCTGTATACTAAGTACTGTTAACATCTCTCTTAAGTAAAGTTTTTTGCAGCTAGAGTAAGTTGATGGAAGAAATTTTCCCAAGGAATCTTAGCCAAATTTATTTCCTTTTGCTAAATTTATTTTATTTGAGGGTAGCAAAGAGACAAGTGGGTTATGAACAGTTTTGTTTCTCTTTTATCACCTTTCTTCTTTAATTCTGCTTAACCATTTTTTGCCTTTTCTTTTGTGCTTGTGCTTACTGCTATCTCACTGGCTAGATTTTCACACCAAGGCCTTGTGACTTGTTTGCTGATTCCAATGGGGTTTTTTCACCAAAGAAGGTTGGTTTAGTAACCATAGTGGATTTAAATTTAGAAGAACTTTAGATGAAGAACTTTTTAGCTGTTTGTATCAGAGAATGTTGGTAGTTTTAGATTTTCTTTTGATGCTAACAGAATTTGCCAAATGAGCACCTGACCTGCCCAAGAAAAGCCAAACTTGTTTCCACATCAGTTTCAAAATTTTACTGAAGCAACCTTTTCTGCTGTTGGACTTCCCTTATCACAGTTTACAAAGACTTTACAAGGAATCTTTTTTTTCCACCACCTCCCCCTCCAACTGAAGCCTTTATTCCCTTTATTGGTTGACATTTCAGATAACTAAGCAATCTGAGCTGTACTTCTACTATTACTTTGTGATGCTTTTCAGTACTGCAGGAGGTTATGTTTGAAAAAATGCATTGTGGAATAAGCTCGATATACATAGCAAAACTGCTGGATTAATATGCATCCTCCATCGCTGTGGGAAGAAGCCTGAAAGTAGGTCCTCAGTTCTTAATTAACTTCTTTTTTTGTTCTTTCAGACTCCTCATCTTGTAAACCTTAATGAAGATCCACTCATGTCTGAATGTCTGCTTTACTACATCAAAGATGGTATTACTAGGTGAGGTTTGGTGCTAATACGCTCTGAAATCTGCTTCTTTGCTTGCTTAAATTCCCATGCTGGAGACACTGTGAGTTTAAATAATAATTGTGCTTTGAGCTACTCAACTTGCAGGTACAAACGAAGCATGAGATTGCTGTAGGTGGAAAAAACTACAGAAATGCATTTTCTTTTAAGTTGATTTTCTGCTTTAACAATAATGTGTGCGGTCACTCAGCTTTTTAAGAAGTTCATTATTACACCTGGGCAGTAAAAGAAAGCATGATATCTCTTCTAAGATACAGGCAAACAAAAGTAGTAGAACTTACTGAAAATGCTTTTGAGATCTTGATGGGTGGAGGGTTGAAAGCAATAGTACTTGATAAAAGCAACTGGAATAAACTGTTATCCATGCCTCTGCACAATTAATGTATTCTGCATTCACATATATGAGATTAAATTTAATTGCCAGTTTTGGAATTTAAAACAGATTTTATTCCTTATTCCAAAACTTGGTGTTAAGACATCTGGAAGAAGGGAGATGATTTTTGTTGTCTTTGGAGCACTAAGTCATGTTTGGTTGCTTAGTTTGTATGTTCCTGGGGAACAATGGAGAAGAGTACACAAGCAGGTGCTGTTGTATGGTACTACTCTAATATGCATTGGACCTACTGGAAAAAATGCCAAACTTGTAGACAATTCAGCACAGAATGGTAAATAGAATAGCTTAGGGATTAAGACATCATTCTAAGTTTTGAACCTAGCTAGCTGGCATCAGAAATGTGTAGAGTAATAAGCAGAACAAGAAGTTCATAAACATTAGGATTGAAAATTAAGTTGTCTGTATGTAGAATTGCTCGAATACTTGACTTTGGAATGGACATAAATCTTCATGTTCCAGGGATACAGCCAGCCTCTCACTGGAAGCTGGATAAAACTGCTTGTGACACCTAATTATTCAGCAAGAGTCTCCTGAGCCGTTTTTGCTCTTTTGTTGAAGTGCAGATGGTGATTATTGGAAGGGATGATCACTGTATGCCAGCTGAAATGCACCACTGGAAGTTCCTGTCACTTTTTTTTGTTTTTACTTCTGCACTCCTTTGCTAAAGGGAGAAGGGGGTACACAAGAGGGAAGGAAATACATTAAATCCAGAGGTGTTTAACATTTAAATTCTCTTTAAGTTACATGTTTTGAGAGAGAGAAAACTTCTCTTTTCTGTTGTCAAGCTATTATCCTCCAATTCATGGTAAATCTGGTAAGTTCACTGCAGTGCACAATTAAGTGCTAGTTCAAACTTTTAAACTTGAAGGATAGTCTTAATAGTTCAGATGTTTTTCCAGGAGATTTCTGAGCTATATTGTCCTACAGAGAGTTGTAGAAAGTGTCCAATTTGCTCTTCAAATATTTTCTGTTGGATCCAGGGTTGGCCAAGCTGATGCTGAGCGAAGGCAAGACATTGTATTGAGTGGGGCTCATATCAAAGAAGAGCACTGCATCTTTCGAAGTGAGAGGAACAACAACGGTGAAGGTGAAAAAGTACTTCTTCTAGCAAAGTATTGCTGAATCTTCCACTTCTCACTTGATAGTTGGCCAGGGAATATTGGTATTTGAAAGTTTCTCTTACTTCAAGAAAACCATCAGCTTTGACTCACTGTTTTCTTGAGTCTTAGGGTAAGAAAATAAAATTTGTTTAGGTGATAATAGCTTCAAATTGCAGGCTGCAGTCAGTATAAGAGTTAAGTTCTGATCTGAGTTAACCATAAACATGAAAATTCAAACAGAAAAAGTAATAATTTCCAGTGGCAATATGTGGAGATGTCAGTAGTATTGATTTTCTCATGGGGCTTTATTTCTTTTTTTAACCAGTGTGGCATCAAGGAGTGATTCATTTGTATCTTGTTCTGGTGTTAGTAGGAAGATAAGCAGAAAATGAGAGGCCTCTAGGATTTGCACACATCTTCTGTACAGTGCTCTCTAAAGTCTCATTTGTCAATGTTGTTTTCTTCATAGTTATTGTTACTTTGGAGCCTTGTGAAAGATCAGAAACCTATGTTAATGGCAAGAGGGTTGTGCAGCCTGTGCAGTTGCGCTCAGGTAAGAAATGTTAGAATGGATTTTTTTTGTAGACTCTCCATCTCAGAGTTGTCTGTATGTGACGTTTGCATCATATGCGGAGAATGTTGGGTGCTGTTAAAGGACGGCAGTGTTTTTGGAGTGTAGCTTTTAAACAGAAGTTGGTACCATTCTTTCTTGGCAGCAGTTTGTTTTCTTTCATTTTGCTGCACTAGCTCTGAGTGTACTTAAATATTCACTGCCACGCAGCGTCCTGCTTGTCCTTCTGCTTACCCTGATAATTATTCAAATACATTCTTGCCCAAGCCTATTGCCCTTGGCAGTCTCAGTGAGACAGAGCAGACAGACTGCCAGTTGCTGATGGAAAATTCCCCGTTTCCTGGCAAAGCTAAGATATGACCCTCTGCAGGAGTAGAACAGCTTCTGTTTGCTCTCATTAGATTTCCTACTCAGTCCCCTACATTCCTTTAAAAGGCGTGTGGGGGAAGAATTAGAGAAGGAGTGACTTCCCTAAATTATGGGTTTTAACCAATCTCTTTCAAGCTATGATGCTTTTTATGTCCCTCCCCCATTTTTCTACTGGTGAAAAAAACAAAAAAACAAACCAACCACCCAACCTCGCCTCTGAATTATTTGCACCAAGTTGTGAGTATTTTCGTGGAACCAAGTGTACTGAGTTCAGTGCAAGTCTGCACAATGAAGGAAGAACAGTTTTTGCTGTCCTGTGCCTTCATATGGCTCATATTGATTACCATGACTTTATCATTTAGTAATTTGTTTCTCTTAAAAAAAAAAAAAAATAATTTTTTTTTTCCTTCTGCGTCTAGATAATTGAGTTACTAGAAGAACATAGACATGGTCTCTGACATGCTTAAGAGCCTGTATTTTAGTGGTATATTGATAAGGACAATGTTGGTTACTTTGGAGGTCTATTTACTAGAATGTCTTTTTAAAAAATTTACTACATTAATACGTTCTCTGGAAGAGCAGAGACATTTTACTGTCTTCCATCATGCACATATCTTAGGCTTTGTGGACATCTGATATCTCTAGGATTTAGCCAAAAGACTTAAAAATATTAGATTTCTTCAGCTTTTTTGATGTTAGTGTAAAAGAAGTTGTAAAATCCTTCTGTAAATCCCACTGATTAGGACTCCAATAAAATCAATACATGTCGACCACATTTGAAAGAAAAGTAAGCGCCATGTATTGCAGTGTTTGAAGTTAAGCTTTTCCAAGCTG